CCCCCACCCCCCCCGAAGGGCCTGGCCCAGCCAACACAGCTTCCAGCTAGGGCTGCTGCTGCCACTGCTGCAGCTGCTGGGGGATGTGCTCAGCTTCCCCGGCATCTGACCTGCTCCGGGCAGCAGGTAGGGAAACAGCAGGGGTGCAGGGTGGGGAACTACAGCTGGGCAGGAGTGTGGAGCATGGGGCTGGGGCTGAAAGCAGTGTGGAGCCTGCACCCAGGGGTGTGGTGGGAGTGCAGAACTCAGGTGGGTAGGGTCTGGATGTGAGGGGTGGGGGTTATGGAGACCCCCCCACACATGCCTCTCATGCTGCACAGCCCTCACCAGCAGCAGCAGCAGGCTGGCACTCGTGCCCAGTGCAGGTGCTGCTGCCTGGTGGCAAGCAGCTCTGGCCAGTGCTGCACATGGCAAGGAGCGCAGTCTGGCCAGCCCGCCTCAATCACGCAGGGCTCTCTGTAATGCATGTGCAGCTCTGTGCCACCAGGGTAAGTCCCATATGATGGAGCTGGTTACCTTTGCCGCCCCCTGACTGCAGGTCCCGGGATTCCACCAGAAGTGGAGGAGAGCCCTGGCCCCTGCTTCCCTGCAGAGTCCCCACACCTGCACAGCAGGGGGTGGTGAAGGCAGCCCACTCTATTATTTATCTGTAGTCAACAAACAAGTGAGTGCTAAGAGCTGGCATTTTCCAAGGGCTGCCTTGAGTTTTAAAATATTTAGCACCACTGTTCTAGCCTAACACTGAAAGCAGAATTTGGCCTGGCCTTTATGAATGACAGGTGTAGCAATCTGGTTGGCTTAACTAAAATCAGTGTGAATTTTACCATTAATTTAAATGGAAGCAGGATATCCAGCTATGTTTTAATGATTTCTGAAGTGTTTGGCGCTACAGAATTGAACTACAACCACTGTAAAGGTTAAAATGTTAAATATTGCTTTTTTCCATAAAATTAAAAGGGAATGTCAATACCTAAGAATTTTCCCAATGCACATGATAATGAAATTCAAGTATCAAACAAGTACAGTACCTGAGTTGATAAAATAACGGAAAGATCTGGGACCAGAATCAGGATCATGACACAATATACTGAAACCTTCAATATTGGTTCCAACAGCTAGGTCTACTGGAACTGCAAGTGAATAGGAATTGGGTGTACAAACTGGTTTTTCATCATTCACTTCAAGAACATTGACAGTTACCTGAAAGGGAAGAACAGCTGCTGAACTGGAATTCTTCCATGGTGATGTAACAGAATACTACCAGTGCTACTAACTGTTGGGATTTGTTCTTTTACACACATTTGAGCTGACAGTAGTTGAAGAAGACTAATGAATCCTCTGCCCATCTAGTTTCTACCTTGAAATTGTTGGCCTTCATCTAATTTTTTTTACTCGTGTTCCTTTGAAAATATTAGAAACAAAGGAAAGGTTTCCTAAGGTGAATTATGTGATAAAACTACAGTTTCCTGTATCTGGTGTGTCTGAGTTTTTTAAATGTTTAAATTATGGCATAGTCAGAATGGAATATAATAGTACTACTTTGCTCTTAATACATATAACCTGTCACACAAGGACTTCAGAGCACTTCACAAGGACTAATGTGATATATTCATTCCCCACAATGAATAGGAGGTGCTGGAAGAAGAGAGGTACCTGGGTGTGTTAGTCATTCAGAAGTTAACCATAAGTGGTGTCCAAAAAAGATGACTATGATCAATCAAAA